AGAGCAGCCGGCAGTGGGGCGAGCAGCTGGGCGGCCCCTGCAGCCCCCTCCCCTTCACAGCAGTGCCCGTGGGCTGGGCTGGCATGAGGGACTACTGCCTGCCCGCCGTGCCCCCCTGTGCCCGCAGGCTGAGGGCCTCCCGCACCGTGCGCTTCCCCAACGACGTCGTCTTCCAGGACCACATCAGGGAGGGGGACCTGGAGCAGGTGGGCAGGTTCATACGGGCCAGGAAAGTGGCTCTGGACACCATCTACCCTTCTGGTGAGTGCTGCTGGGGCTGGCAGAGCTCGAATGTGCATGCTGGCATGGCACGGCATGGCATGGCATGGCATGGCATGGCACGGCTGCGAGGGAGACTGTGAGCTGTGCAGCCAAAGCCAGGACGGACGTGGGCCACCCGTGGCAGGGTGACAGGCTGGATTTGGGTCATTCTCCTCCCTAGGGAGGAGTAGTGTCCCCAGTGTTGCTAAGCAGGGCCCCATGCCAGTGTCCCAACATCTCCCCTCACACATGTGGTCAGTGTGTGCTGGGGAGGGGGGGAGCCTGCCCCTGGGTCCCTGCAAGGCCATGCCCACCTTCAAGGTGCATGTCCAGTGTGCTGGGACCTGGAGAAGCAGCAGCAAGCACAGACTGGGCTGGGGAACTCTGGATGGGACGGGGGGCTCCTGCCTCCCACTCCATGTGGAGAGAAGAGCCAGGAGAAGCAAAGTTCCACATTTTGTTCCTGGCTCTGTCCATTCCCAACAAAAGCTGTTCCCTCTCGAACGTGTGGCACTTCAGAGTGGTGGGGAGGGGTTGTGCCTGCCCCCAGCCCCACCAGCAACTGTGTATGGAATGCCTTGATCCCTACTGGCTGTGGCAGAGCCCAGATTTGTCCCTTTCTTGTGCTTGGCTTCAGCTTCTGCTGTCACATGGCTGTACAGACAAGGTCTCAAATGACTCTGGGACTTCCTCCTTCCCACACTGGTTGCCTTATTACTTGCTCCATGAGGAACTCAGGGACAGAGCAGGGCCCTGGAGACTCTCCCTGTGTCCCTGTGTGAGTCCTTGGACAGGTTGCTGGCCAGGAGCAGTGCAGGAGGGTGGCTCCTCCAGCCTTAGCCTGGCCAGGAGGCAGGTGGGTGCTATGCCATTGTAGAGAGGGTGTTTATGCTGTAGAAGGGGAACAGAAACGTGTGGCAGCTCCTCGTGCCTCCTCAGTCTCTTTTCCCCAAACTCGTGTCCCTGATAACGAGGGGTGGCTGTAGACAACCTCCACTTGTAAGCTCTGCATGGAGAGTCCTTCACCAGTCTGCCCAGGGCTAACAAATCCCTTCCTTCCAGGCATGGCAGCCCTCCACGAAGCCGTTCTTACTGGAAACTTGAACTGTGTCAAGCTCCTGGTTAGATATGGTGCTGACATCCACCAGAAAGATGAAAATGGGTGGACACCTCTGCACATGGCCTGCAGTGACGGCTACGCTGACATAGCCAGGTGAGGAGCACCTGGCTCCAGAGCCCCGAGAGCGGTGGCTGATGGTGGCAGGGCTGTGTGTGGTCGCCAGGGCAGGGTGCTCCGCGGGTGCCCGGGAGCGGGCTGGGGTCCCTGCGGCTCTGCCTCAGCTCCCATCTCCCGCAGGTACCTCCTCTCCCTGGGCGCCAGCCTGGAGGCCACCACCGATGACGGGGAGAAGCCCTCGGACCTCATCGACCCCGAGTACAAGGACCTGGTGGAGCTCTTCCAGGCCACCACGATGGGCTGAGCGGGCGGCGGAGGG